GGTTCACACTAAATTTTTTAAAGTTCCTAAATAACATCTTAACACTGAGCAATCAACTTGTTTTTTTTTTACCGAGCAATTAACAAAATTTCTGGTCAAACGTTTTTTCCAGATTGCAAAACGAATAAAAAATTTCAGACCTTTTAAATCAAGTTGGCAAAACTTTTTATGATTAAAAAAGTCTGAAAAAGCTGAAAGCCACTTTTACTTAGAACAAAGCGATACTAGTAAGCTTGTATTATGTAATAGGGTAAATCGCAGATTTCTTATCGTTAATACAGTTGATGCACTTGGGCACACCGTCTCAAAAAACACAGAGCTCTAACATTAGTTATTTAAAGAACCACCTCATCGTTCAAAGAGATAGTGACAATGGTACTTGAACTGCTGGCCCGCTCAATAGAAGCACCAAGTAGAAAAAATGACAAATCTTTTTAGTGAGTGGTATCTGCGCATATTTGAAGAATTTGTGCATGTTGAAGTACTTGAAGTAACTATCACAAACGAGAGGTTGATTCTTCGTTTTCAAGATCCTTTCGATGACGCCGCAAGTTCGATTCCTCACTGGGACCTAATTCTTGCCTGTCGATTCCAGCGTCAGGCTGCCCTTCAGGGACGCGCGACAAACCGGCTAAGGAACACCCCGTCGCATCCAAATGAGTTTCAATGTATGACAAAGAGTATCGAGCAAAAGCTAAGAGGTCACTCGGAAGCGACGCGTACTCGAGACCAAGTGGTGCGGATAGTGGGCAAGGGCCATCCTCTTACAAACGGAGACGGATAAAAATGCTAGCTCTTCGAAGGCAACTATCCAAAAACTCAGAGACGCTTCGATTAGCTATCATCAATGTCGGAACCCCCAATGGACGATACCAAATGAGATCTCCTGAGAAGACAGCGAGAGGATATACCTGCGTACGGAAATATGGAAGGGTGGAAAATCACGCGATATTGGAAAAGGTTATATTTTTTCAATGGCACCAGCAGCAGTCGAAATGGAGTAGGTATAGCTTATGTAAGAAGCTAGATGCCGCAACTGACCGATGAGTGATCGACTTGTGACTTAGAAATGAAGCTGAAATCCTTCAAAAAGTCGCAAGCCAGATGTAAGGAAGAAGAAAAGAATATGTTCTGGCAGGAGCTTGACTATCACATTACATCCATACAAGAGGATTAGATAAACTTGCTTGGAGCAGACCTCAAGGGTGTGTGGGGAAAAAGAACTAGTAAAAGAAAGTGTCACGGGAACTGCAGATACGGGACAAATGAATTCGAATGTTTTTGAATTTGCTACAGTCTACAATCGGGCATTAGCCAAACGTACTACACCAAAAAGCATGAACGCTGAGTACGCATACAAGTGGAGACAGTCGAATACAAATTGACTAGTGAGCATGCGTTACAATAGCAATACAATATAAAGAACATAAAGGATTGCAAAGTCAATTAAATGAAAGCTGCATACTTCAGCATATGCTCTTTCAGATCTCAAAATTCCGCTTGAAAGACAAGGAAAACCTATGCTAACAGCAAAGTACGAATCAAATGGTGAGAACTGAAAGAGAACTATTTGGCCAAAAATGATTTGTTAAGTGCTTTCCAGGTCTTGTGTAAAAAGCAGAGCCTCGTTAGCCTTGAACGTACATTGGGTAACAAGATATTTACTGAAATGTACGAAGCCAGGAAAAAGAGGAGTTGAAAAGAAACTTGGTGCTGGAATGATGAGGTTCAAACGCTGATAAGGGAGAAAAGTCAAGCATATAAACAATGGTATACGTCGAAAATAGAAAGCAATCAACAGATGTAATGAAACACGCTGCAAAGAACTGTGCCAAGAAAGCGAAACAGGCATACGTAGAAGAGCTGTATAAGGAATCTCGCGAGGGATAGCGAGGAATATATCGAATAGCGAGAAGGAGAGCAAAGTCCGCAAAAGACATGGAATACTTCTTCAAAATCAAAAACAAGCTTGGAAAAACGTTGAGAAGACCACAGGGACTAATTGAGAGTTTGCGAGCATACTTCGAAGATATATCGTCTACTACCAGCGCTAAAACACTCATCCCATCACCTGACCCTGCAGAAAAACCAGTGCAACTCATTACAGCAGAGAAAGTATGACTTGCGATATAAAGACAAAGACGGCAAGGAGGAGATGACATTCCAAGCGAATCTGGAAAAAAATGCAGACAGTCCGCTGCCTCTTGGCTTGCATCAAGTCATCAGAGCTGAGAGCATACCCATTGACTAGCCAAAGAACACAACAATTCCGATATGGAGGAATAGAAGCAATATCGAGGTTCGACATACCCCCAATTCGACTGGTGAGTCACACTCTAAATCTTCAAAAGAGTACTTGAAACACGACTACGAACGATCATAAAGCTGTCAACCAATGAGTGCAGATGCCGGATTCTTTATATAAACTGTACGGATAGTGATAGAGAAATATAGAGAAAAACAAAGAGAGCTGTATGCGGCTTTCCTGGATATGGAGAAAGCTTTCGACAAGGTACCCCATGATATCA